CTCCCCCACGGTCACCATCGGTGTTACCGCCTCTGTCGCCGCCCCTGTCACCGCGCCTGTCACCGCCCTATTACCATCACTGCCATCGCTCCCATCACCGCCTCTGTCACCGGCTATGGAAGTCTCTGTCACCGTCCTTCTCACCGCCTCCGTCCCCACGCAAGCCACCATCATTGTCACCGCCCCTGCCACCACATCTGCCACCGCGCCTGTCACCGCCCTATTACCATTGCTGCCATCGCTCCCGTCACCGCCTCTGTCACCGGCTATGGGAGTCTCTGTCACCGTCCTTCTCACCACCTCCGTCCCCTCCCAAGCCACCATCATTGTCACCGCCCCTGTCACCACATCTGTCACCGGCTATGGGAGCCTCTGTCACCATCCTTCTCACCACCTCCGTCCCCTCCCAAGCCACCATCATTGTCACCGCCCCTGTCACCACATCTGTCACCGACCCTGCCACCATCCTCACGCCGCCTCAGGCTCCTCCCTGGTCACCATCGGTGTTACCGCCTCTGTCGCCGCCCCTGTCACCGCGCCTGTCACCGCCCTATTACCATCACTGCCATCGCTCCCGCCGCTGCCTCTGTCACCGGTTATGGGAATCTCTGTCGCCGTCCTTCTCACCACCTCCGTCCCCTCCCAAGCCAACATCATTGTCACTTGATGTGGCAGATGTGGTGGCCCTGCCACCACATCTGCCACCCGCCCTGTCTCCACCTCTGCTCCTGTCACACCACCCCCCTCCCCACACCACCCCTGCTGCAGCCACTGTCACCGCGCCTGTCACCTGTCATCGTTGTCACCGCCCCTGCCACCACATCTGCCACCGCCCGGTCACCACCTCTGTTCCTGTCACCTCCCCCCACAACATCCCTGCTACAGCCCCTGTCGCCGTCCTGTCATCACCTCTGCTCCCGTCACCGCCCCAACACCACCGCTGCCACAGCCGCTGCCACGACCGCTGTCATCGCTGTCGGCCGCCCGGTGCGCCGACGCCTGACTGTCCCGGCTCATGCCTCCCCACGCCCTCTGTCGGGACTCATCGGTTCGGGCAATGGCCGGACGCCACGCAGCGGTGGACGCTGCCAGCCGGCCGCCGGGCGTGCTTCGAGACAACCGGAGCGTGCCGGTCCGGGTGCCCCGGCCGACAGAGAACCGAACGCATTAGGTGAAGCGGTATCTTGTTTGTCTTTGGCCGACCAGTATCTGGGTTGTAGTGCTTGGAGCTGGAATAATGACATAATGAGCGCGCTTGTGCGATGGAAAATGTTTTGATGTTCAACGGTTGACGGCTCTCTTTCACACGGCGCCTGAGTGGCATGGAGTAGTTAATGCATGCTGCAGTAATATTCTAGACGATCTGGACTCCATTGCCATCGCCGGATGTTTCTTTGGTCGCTGTTTTCAGCAAAAGTGGTGATGCGGTGACTTCAGCTGTTACAAACGTCCATATATAACCCGGCAAGCGCAATAATTCTTCCCTTGCATCACCGGCAAATGTCGTTTCTACGTCACACTATCTGCTTGGCCCATTTTGTGGTCGACCAATACTCCGTCAGCCCCCCCCCCCCTCTCTCTCTCTCTCTCTCTCTCTCTCTCTCTCTCCGTTGTCACGCTAATGCTCCCCTTATTTGGCTGCCTTTCTCTGTCCACTCACCCTCGCTCGCCTTCGGCCGTACGATTCTCTTCTTCTCTGTCCAGTTCCTTCCTCCCTCTTTCACGACCACTACTCCTCGCTTTTCCATCCCCTGGTTATTAACAACGCCTTCAAACACCAAACTGAAAGGTCGAGCACTTGACTGGTTCTGTTTCACCCTGGAGGAGGTCTGAATAATCTGTGTCAATGGCCCCGTCAGGCCCGCTGAGGAAGCACTTGAGCGAGCTTTTTCGGAGCCTCGCGTATAGAGTCCGGATACCATCGATGTCAGACTCATTTGTGCTTGATTCTCGACGCTGTCATAAGCGATTCTCAAATGAATAGTTTATTACATAGACAACATGGAAACGCGACTGCCTTTTACATTTGCTGGCGGCTTAGAGTCAGAATTAAGCCGAATGTGCTTGATGTCATAATCACCAAGTCAACTACTACGAATAGAAATAATACGGAACACGGTTATCCGACAAATCAAACTTCCAGGAGGAACGGGCCGGTATCTTCGGAACCTAAACAGAACGGTCGGTAAGCCCCTGTCGTGGAAAAAATACACACTATTTTAGCCTACATGTAACGCATTAGTTGGTCCATATTCGAAACCTTTTCACATCGATACTTTTCGTAAAAACAATCGTTGAGTTGAACTGTGGAAAGTCTGGATGCTGACATAATATTCCCGAATTATTGAATCGCCTGCTGCGTCAAATGAGTGTGTCCGGTCCAACGTGTTTGAAGTGAACTTGTAAGTTGCTACGCTGCTTTCTGAGAACGCTTTCGCTTGCAGATAGCCGGACTGGCAAGGTCTCTGCTCTGATACCTGTTCAAGTTAGTCACCAGACTGAGCAGCTCATGCCCGATTCCCTCTTGCAGCTCCAAGTTAATTGACTCTAAGTCAGGTCAAAAGTCGCCAAATTTCACAAGGTCCAAAATTCTTGCTTGCAGACTACTTATAGCTCGGAACCTACCACACCGATAGCTGCCAAACGTTACCATTCAGCACGCCATTTACCCTAATTCTCTGTTGAACCTGCAAGTATGGTGCCACTTATAACTATGTCTTTTCCGTACACTTGTTCTAAAAAAAAATGTGCAGCTTGGTTAGGCTCAACTCATGAGGTTGAATATCTCCTTAGCGGAGGTGTTAATCCTGGCGATACCATGCACAATTCAGCCCATGATCTTCAGCGCAGCACCTCCGCTAAAGAGAAATTCAACCTCATAAGGCCAGCCTAACCAAGCTGCATTTTTCATGAGAGCAAACATTAAGGAAAAGGCATAATATAAATGGCACCATACTTACAGCTTCAACAGAGAATAAGGGTAGATGGCGTACTGAATGGTAATGTTTGTCAGTGATCGGTTCGGTAGGTTCTGAGCTATAAGTTGCCTGCAAGCAGGAATTTTGGACTTTGTGAAATTTGCCGACTATTGACCTGACCTAGGTTCACCAAATTTGGAACTCCAAAAGGGGATCAGGTATGGGGCATCCACTGGTGAAGGTTTTACAGTGATCGGTCCAGTAGGCTCTGAGATCTTAGTTGCCTGCGTTTGCATGTAGCAATTCCCCTTCGCGTTTTCGAGGTGTTTGGCCTCGGGTCAGGTCTCGATATTGCCTCCCCATGACTCAGCCCATTGCACAGAATCGATTGGTGAAGGTTTCAAGGCAATCGGACGAACCGTTTCGGGAAACTTGCATGTCTGCGTCACATGCCGGTTTTCTAGACCCTGCCCTGATATTGATGAATTACACCCTAATGACATCTCAGACGGAGCCTCAGAGATAGAATGGCCACGCTAACAAGGCCCTGGCTCTAATAATTGTGCATTAATCTCAGACTTCGACTCAGACGAGTCTCTCTCTGAAGACTCCGACAGACTCTGATGAGCATCCGGCAATAGGTTGCGTCTGGTACATCCGCCACGGTTTAAGTCGGGTAGATCTCCGCACTAAACTCTGGTCATCCATTAGTCGAAATCTAGCGGCGCGGAAAGGCATTAAGCAATAAAGCATGGCATGTCTTAGTCTGGAGACCTCTTGACATGAAGCGAATTCAATTGAGGGGAGGTGGGTGCTATTTCGTTCAATTCCATGGAATACATTCCTAGTTTTCTCTGACCGCGTCGTTAAAGCTGTTTACCATTGTTATCACTAGGAGGTCGTCACTGTCTAATTGAGGGGCTATGCACGTAAGATGTTGGATAAGGTTTAGCCGCATATGACCTTGACATCAAAGGTATTTTGTCCTATTGAGGACGCACTTCTGGTCGAGTGCTATTTTTTCTTTTTGTTCCCATACCAAGGCACGTATTCTTTCACCCGGCGGTAGTTTTCTGCCAGGTCGCCATTGTTATTATTTCCTCATCTCCGCTGCTTGCCATTCCATTAATGCGGTAATGAGCCTAGCGGCGGCTACACGGAGCGTGAGTCTGCCACGGATGATGCGGAATTGCCGTTATTATGCCAGACCTCGTCTTTGGCACGTGATCCATGGCCTGGGGGCGCTGCGGAGCCGGTGAGCAGCCACGTGCACTCGCCGTTAAACGGGCTGGATCACTCCTGACGCTAAGTTACGGCCTGTTCTGCAGAAATCGGTATGGGGCTATGGCTTATGCTGTCTCGGAAGTTCGAAGCTGATGTTAAGACATTGGCTTTGAGACAGAAGCTGTCACCGGCACTGGTTAGCTTAGTTAAGGCTTCATGGGGTTACAAACGTTGACAATGCCTATGACTGGCCAGCCCAAGCTTAAGACTCCATCTGTGTGCATTCGCTTCGTACCACCCGCGAGTTGTGTCCCCCACCACTTTATTCTTTTCTTCCTTTTCCTTTCTCACTCGCTCATTCTCCTCTTGCTCTTCCAGCTATCTCCCGATATGTGTCATTCCTCCGCCTCTCCTTCATCCTTCTCCCCACCTCCCCCTTCCTCTTTTCTCTACCTCCATGTCCTCTCCCTGCCATTCTTTCAGTCCTCCTGACTGTCCTTCCCTTCTTCCCACCTCTCCTCGCCTCTTCAAATCCTCTCCTTCAGCGTGCCCGTTCCACCGCGGGTCCGCAGGTCTACCGCGGAGTCGCCACCCTGGTAGACGCAGTGTCCCGTCCGGCCGGGCACCTCCGCCGCCGCGCCTCCCCTCCAGTTCCGCCTCCTCCTCTCGCCGCGTCGCCTGGATGCCTCAATTCGGGGCGCGGCGCACCGCTGGTCGATGTTATAGCTAGAGGCGCGTGGCCCATACGGGGCAGCAAACAGCCGGGAGCGGGCCGCCCAGGTGAGCGAGGCGGCGCGGGGAGTACGCAGGCGGCCGGCGGCGGCGGCGGCGGCGGCGGCCCAGCCAGTGTGCCGGCGGACGCGGCCGGGTGAGGACGTGAGGAGCGGCAGCCGACACCATGGCGGCCGTCAGTGAGCACGCTGGCGAGTACATCGGACAGCTGAAGGCCGAACTGGACGCCTTGGCCGGCACGGGCAAGTTCCCGCACGCGCAGCGGCTGCTCTACCAAGGTGGGTCGCCGGCGGGCCGGCCGAGTCGCCAGTGTCGCTGTGCTGGTGTCGGACCATCCGTGAGGTGCAGCCGAAGCTTGGCGCGGGCCGGCGGAGAACGTCAGGTGCGCCCGGGTCCGTGTCACCCACACTAGCTCGTGAAACGTGCTCGGTGGCTGGTGACTCGGTCCTGTTGCGCCGGCCTGACCTCGGGTCACTGACGTCAGCGGAGGCCGCACGCTTGTCAGTCACGACCAGGCACAGCTCGCCGTCAAAAAAGACGGCGCGTTGCGATCGACTCCGCGTAAGAGCACGACCGCCGCCTCCCTCGAGCCAGCTCGATCAGTTCGCGTCAGTCCGAGCCCCTCACGGCGCCTGGAATTAATCAGGTCAGGCCGGCCAGCGGCCGACGACAAAAACCGTGCCGGCAGTCCAGCCACCACGCCTCGGGTAAGGCACACGGTGGTGCGCTCGCGGCGACAGCCGGGCCGCCCTCAAAGTAGGTGAGCCGCTTTTTGCGGGAGTCGCGACACCGGTGGCAGGTGTTGCGTAATCAGCCCTACGGGTGGAGAAAAACGGCCGTTAAAAGGACGCTGCTGTGGGCCGACGGGTCCAGAACGACAGCGGGCTGGCGGAAGCGAGGTGGCGAGTGTGGTGGGAAGAGTGGACAGACTGCGCCGATTCGTATCTGTCGTGAGCGGAATTCCCGTGCACGAAAATACGCCGGCATTCACTGACGTTTTTCGGTGTGGCTATTTTGTGCTGACAGAAATGAATCGATGGCAATTATTAAAAGGCTTCAGAGTGTAGATCGAGGACATAGAACTCAGAACTCTGTAGAACACTGTAGAACTCAGACTTTCTGACCAAGAAGAAAGAAAACGCTTTTGGCGTGCGTGTGCAAGACTAAATATTCATTTTGTTGTGTTGTGGAACAATTCTGGTTTTCATACGATCACCTCCCACACACTGATATTTTATTTCGATAAGACAGTTGCAAAAGCCTTATTCCTGGTAGAAAAACCGGGAGAGTGGAGAGATAGAGGCGTTGATGTTTCGGCACATGCGCGTAACGAAACGAATATCAATAGCACTACTGATATATTAGTGGTACTGACTGTGACGCTGCACTTGATCGGGCCTAGTGCACGCTCCAGCTTCTGCAACATCAGCCCAGATCCCGAGTCGTCCCGTCAGCCCCCGTCCGTTCATGTTCCCGATCTATCATCCCGATCTACACGACGACACTACTACTACAGCACACTGATATTCGTTTCGATAAAGACATGTTGCCGAGATACCAGCGTATCCATCTCTCCATTTTCTTGTTTTTTACGGGGAATAAAGCTATCACTACCTTCTTATCTGCGTGTTTAATGTTCCTCGCAAATGCACTGAACAACTCATGATATTTCAATTGATGCGTATGCCCTTTGACGCCAAAGAAAAATGTTCGTCAGCCATGACAAATTATTGCCGACCATATAAGAGGTGGGTAGTAAGCCCCTTCCACCATCAATACATCTTCATAGCGCACTTTTCGAAAGGAATGGACTACGCAGCTTTCCTAATGCCGAATTTATATCTCTGCTTCCAGTGCATAACGCGTCATATGTCATGCTGGATCGCTCCCGAACGCGCCCTCAGACAGAGCCGAGCACTCACGGTTTCAAACATCCTCTAACGGCTGGGCATCCGTCTCAGCCGGGACATATCGAGCGATGAAGCCCAGTCAGCGAGCCCGGTCTCTGCCCGACTCGTTTGGGTGTCACGCAGAAGACGGCACGCACTGCCTCTCTCAGTTTGGCCCGGTCCGCAGGGACCCTCAGCTCAATGGACCATGAAACCGTTAGATTTCGGTCGGGGCTCGTTTCGCGCGCTATAAATCGCGCCAAATTGTCGGCTCTTTTCGCTGGCGATGCTCCCTGGCCAGCAGAGGGCCTCGACTGATTTGTACTGGGTGGTCGTCTGCCTGCCAACACCGCCCTAATTCGTATTTATGGCTGCTTTGGAAGCGCCTTCATATTGATTTGTATTGAGTTGGGTGAGCGCCTGTTTTCAAGATTGGATCGCATCTGCCCTAAGTGACCAGTTTATTTCCCTCTTGGTCTACGCAGCTCGATCGTTGTGTGTGTCAGATTTATTCAAATCAGGCTTTTCCTTGGAGTGTAACGCAGTGACGATGCATATGACGTGCGAAAAATTGGAAAACATCGATGTTTTCGCACCACTCAGCGTCAGCGATATATGAGAATCGGATCATATAGATTATATTAGAACTGCACAAAACACAAATGCTTTTCCGCGATTGGGTGCCGGCGATATTTGTGACCCACAAAGTTTGACGCATTGTCCCATTTTTTTGACAACGCCAGATAATATTCACGGACTGCGTCGCATGAGTTCGGCGCCGTCGACACTGCGCCATAATAGGCGGGTGACGGTGGCCCTGTTGCAAAATCTGAGCCGGCGCGCTACGGCCCGCTGGGCTAGAAACATGTCCTCGATAGCTACTTGTGACAGCTGTGGAGGCCCCAAAGGCGTGGCTAAAAGCCGCACTGATCACCTTATTGCCGCCAACTACGAGCCCTTCCGGAGCCGGAACGACGGGCCTTACAGCGTAGCGTCTGGCGACGGTCCAGTCGGCCACACAGCACGAGATGCTGTGCCGTGGCTGGCCGACTGCTGTGGAGCACCGGCTGGCCGAGTGCTGTGGATCACTGACTGGCCGACCGCTGTGGATCACCGGCTGGCCGATTGCTGTGGACCACCGGCTAGCCGACTGATGTGGATCACCGGCTGACCGACTGCGGTGGATCACCGACAGGCCGACTGCGGTGGATCACCGGCTGGCCGACTGTGGTGGATCACCGGCTGGCCGATTGCTGTAGACCATCGGCTAGCCGACTGCTGTGGATCACCGGCCGGCCGGCTGGCTGACTGACTGCTTGGACAGTGCTCCGCTGCCATATGCCATTCGTGTGGGACGCATCCAATGCGAGTCGACCTCCCTTCATCCGGTTTACGCCGCGTCAGTGTTTCCCTGATCGCGAGCCGGGCTGCATTGCTTACGCGGACGTGTTCGCAGCGTGTCGCTAAGTCGATATTCCAGTCCACGCACGAGCCACAGCCGCCGGCGGAATTGGCATTCAGCCGCGTGCGCGAGAAACACGTCGAAAGTTTCTTATCTTCCGCCCGGCCGCATGTGCATCCGTGCGCTGCCCCGTATACAGCCAGACTCTGAATTCGGCCGCCGATTGGAGCGCGGCGGCGTCGCCGGGCCGCTGCCCGGCTGGGCTCAGCCGTCGCGGGCAGCCGGCTGCCCGGGCTCAGGCGGGTCCGGCCGCAGCCGCACCGCTTTCACCCTCGGCCGGCTCGGAATGCCGCCTCTGTAGGCGCGTCTGCCGGCGCGCCGGCCTTGGCTGACGCAGCTCAGGCGGCGCCGCCGGATATTAGCGTGGGCCCGGGCTGGGTGCGGCCGTCGGAAGGCTTGGCGGGAGACGCGCGGGCCGTCAGAGACGCGTCGCGGTGCGGGCGACCGGCGGCCGCCGGCACCCCGGCCGAGCGCGCTGCAGCCGCCCGCCACCTGAGGCGCGGAGGGACGATCTCGGTGGGACACCGTCGCCGCCGGGTCTGCTCCCCGCTCCCCGCGCTTTGCTACGTCAGCGATAGCCGGCGGCCGCTGTCAGAGCCGTTGTTCCAGCTGACTAGCTGTCGTCCGGCTTGGGACCCGCCCCCAATTAACCGGCGCCGCTCAGCTGACCGTGGGCCGGTCGAGCGGGCCCGAAAGTGAAACCCGCGCCGTCACGGCCGCGGCGCCGGCGTCAGCCGCCGGCCGGCGCGCGGCTGGGCTCGGACGCGGCGGCACGGCACCGGTCCCGGCGCCGGAGGGCCGTCCGGCGGGCCCGGCTCGCCACCGTTGCGCCTCGTTCAGCCGCGGCCGGCGGAAGAAAGAGAGAGAGAGAGAGGCGCCGCTCAATTGATGTGACGCAAAGCGCTCTGACGAACGGCCGACGGCTCGATGCGAGCTGGACCCGGTCAGCGCCGTGGGTGAAAGGAAGAACCTGCGACCGGCGACCGATTAGGCTCGTCGGACGGTGGTGATGTCGCGGATGGCAGCTGGCGTCGTTTGCCAAACAACGCTGTCCTTGGACGGGACGTGATGAGGAAATATGACGTGTTTTGGAGGAGTCGCGCTGGTCTGTCGCGTTAGTGATGGCAATGTCGCGCCGGCAGACGTTCCAACGACCGCTCGCTGTCTGCGTGCTCTACCGAACGCTTGCAAGGAGTTTTATCAGCTTAAGCTCAGTGATAAAGAAGGCATTTGCGCAGTTTCGCGAGGCGAAACAAGGCAGGAAAGCCGAGACAAGCCATGAAAGTGCCTGATCCTACTGTGTTTCGCGCTGCCTTCCAATCTCCACCGAAGGCCACAACGGTCGTCGTGACCGGACGAGCCGCGCCGGTCCGCCAACAAAGCACCATCACGGCCCCCGCCCCGTCCAACTTGGCGCTCCGTTCCGTTCCGTACCGTTGCGGCTGACCCGCGCGGCGGGCCGGGCGGCGCCCAAGTTTGCGCCGCGCCGCCGGGTCGGGTGGCGGCTGCGGCCCACGGTCGGCACGAGCCGCAGTCGGGTGACCCTCACCTCTGCACCGCGCGGCCGGCAGGCGGCACATCTTCACGCCACATCGCTCCAAGGTCGAGGCCGCGGCCGCGGTGATAGGGCACGGCGCGGTGCGCCTGCGCGTACCGCTCGCGAATCTACCGACCTCCGCTCAGTATCGGACATGGCTTGTGTCGGCAGCATGCGACGCAGCGAAGATCAGGAACAAAAATGCTCCTTTTTTCGTCTCGCATCGACATCTTGAGTGTTACGAACCTTCCGGAGTTCTGAGTGATTGCGTCTTGCTTTCGTGCGGTATTCACGCCCGATCAGCTCAGCTGTAGTGTGCGCACAACATCGCTGCACCGAACGTTTCCGTGCCGCAATGCCAGCCTGCCCTGCCGACAGTGGGACCCGCTC